ATATTACTGTTTTATTTTTACTAGTAGATCAACTGTTTGGCAAGCATGTACCAAAACACTTTTGCCATCCAGTCCCCATATGTTTGGCCACCCCTGGCATGACACATTATTTAAATTTGGACTTCATCCATTGTCAGAGTTTACTGAAACTGCTAGATTTGGGAAATTGGTTCTATTTAAAAAATGTAATAGTTTTAATACTGATGATTGTGGACAAAGCCTGAATTAATGGTTTTAAACAATGCCGCTATAGGCAGTGCAAAGATGTACAGGCTGTTCTGGATCTCTCTGCCCAAAATGGTAACCAGAAGGTGCTGAAAATCAAATATTTTGAGTGTTTCTTGCTATATGTAGGCACTATATCCCATAAAAAACCTGCCTGTAAACAATAGATCAGACTGTATTGACCTAGCAGAATTTACCTCACTAACTTGTTAAATTCACTGGTAGACAAGGGGATAAGTTGAGATTACAAGATATATTCCAAAGTGATGTTAGTGGATCATGCAGATAAAACCATTCATTGTGCAGCTGTGTCAAAATTAAATTTTATAGGAAGTAAATGTACAAAATTAGAAATGTTTATTGGAAAATATTTTTCTTTACTTTTTAATCCCTTCTCTCTTGAGCTAATTTTTAGTCTACAGTTGCTGTTGCTGGAAAAAATGTGTAATTAGCATCCAGTATCAAGGGATGACAGAAGAACTGACTACTGTCAAATAATCAAATGCTAAAGATGTTGAAAGCAGAAGTAGTTGGACCAGAAGTCTCATTCATAGCATGAAAATGGTTGTGTCTTGTTTTCGGGAGTTGCATTATGCTTGAGATCATCTTAAGAATTTGGTAAAAGTAGTATTTTATAAAATTAACCAATGGACAGTTTTACCCTATACATTCATTTCAGTCTTTAATGCAACTCTGTTCATAATCTCTCCTTAAAATAAGAGAATCAGTAAGGACAACTTGCATATGAACATATACCCTGACAGATAGAACCCCATATTTCAGACATTACAAGAACTTGTGCAAATAGCAACACTGACATCCCTAAGACAGATATATAAGCGGAAACAATTGCACAGAATGCCCATACAAAAGTGACATACACTCGACTGTGGGTACATACATACTAATGGGGCACATAAGTATATAACATACAGACATATTAATGTTACATTTTTTCAGATAATAACAACAACATGACAATGTTCATGGGACTAAATAAAACAACATAAGTAAGTAATATTAAAGCAACTACCAAACTTCAAAATTTATAAAATTTGACAACAAGGATCATAAGCATATATTATACATTACAGAAAACACGGACACCACAAGAGGAAAATAGCATGGGAAAGGATAAAGAGTTATGTTCTTAAACAAATGTATTTTAGCCTGAATGACAGAAATGCACTAGCATTGATGTATTTTGACTGAGGAACTAGTGCAGTGTGGCAGTTTTGAAAAGTGAACATTTGCCTGAAGATGGCCATGTAAGGTTGAAACACATAGTGGTTGATTGTGATTTTAATGTTGTTTTAAATTAAGGCGGGATTGTGAACAGCTGCATTAAAGACAGAAGTGAATATGTAGAGTGATACATCACTGCAACGGGACACTGAAATACAATATTAACAAACAGTTTGAAATTACAGACTTTAGATTGTCATTTATAATTGCTTGCAGAGATTTTACATTGTTGCAAAAGTAATTTTTCCATACTTCTTTCCTACCTGTTCACTCTGCCAAGACCATTGGTGGTAACCCATATGATCCTACTATAATGGATTCATAATAGATAATAAGTGCAACATGTTCCGTAAAATGCAGATAGTGTAACAAAAACCTGTTGTTATTCATGAACCACACACAGTGTCCATCTAAATATCTCTGAGGGTGCACCATACCTTAAGTAAGCAACCCTACAGAAGAAAATTCCTCTGCATTCAAGATCTCTGATATGGCAGTTATGGTTCCTGTTGTATGTTGAAAATGCTGTAACATTTTAATTACAATGTAATCATCTATGTTATTAGTCTATGATAATGCACCATCAAAGATTTTAGTTTATGAAGGAATATTTTAGATAACAGATATAACCATAATATAGTATTTTTTGGTGCAGTGAGATCATATACTGCTGCCTCTTTTGTGTATTTATTACAAACTGTATTTTCATTATTTTAGCATAACGTTTTTACTACAGCTGTACCTTTCCACCACGTACTATACAGTAGTGGTGCCAAATACGTCCCTTACACATTAGATATGAGAGTGGTTTAAGGTTAATCTGGACTTAATTTTTGTATGAAAAGAATATACATGCCAGAATTGCCAAACTCTTGACTCCTTTTCAAAATATTTCCTTTACACTAACAAATCATCCAGGAAAGTTAATGATGCCAGTAGCATAAAAGATTTTATCCTGACTGTAGCCAATTCAGAACGCCGTACTGAATCCATCATCAGTTTGAAATTTGTCCTCCCAGATGCACTTTTATTGGTCCAAACAAATGCTGATCACTGGGCACTAAGTCATGGCTGCCTTTTGTTGTCAGAGTCACCTTTGTCAAATTTGGTGCACACGCATTGTCATGCAGTAGGATAATCTTCTTTAACAGTTTCCCATGTACTTTCTTCAGAATTGCTTGGTGCACATTATTCTGAAGCAAGTTTCTGTAATACTGTGCATTATGAATGAATGTATAAGGGGTGGGCCTTCTTGGCCCTTGCACCGCGACCACAGTGATCTATTATGCCTCATACTGTGCATTAACTACTATACCATGTGGAAGAAAATCAATATGGATTACCCCTTCAATTAGCTCTTGGTTGAATGTGAACAAGCAGTAAGTTTGAGACTTCTTTACAGTCCATCAGAGTCTTGCATGTGAGTCTCTGCCCCATACTGTGCATTTAACCTGTGCAGAATTTCAACTGGTTTCTTTCATTTTCTCTATGAACAGGAATCTGATGATATAGCACTGTTCTGCACTAGGAGTGACAAAGTCTGATGTCATCCTGTACTAGCTGTAATGTGCAGAAGTGGGTTACGTGGCCACCTGCCAGACAGTTAGTCCAGTGTTGCCACATTCAATAAAAGTTTTATTTTTCTGGTGCCTACATCTTGAAGAAAAAATTAAAATCCAGGAGGACCATGAATCTCCTTCATAGTAACTATACAATATATTTAACCTTTTTATTACGAATGTACATTTTTATTCATTTAGATTTTATTATTCCTTTTGGGCCTTATGTGCCCCAGTATCTCATACATTGCACCATTTCACCTTGCAGAGGTTTTTATTTTTGTAGTAATTTACCCAATGCAATCAAATTTATTTATTAACTCATGTTGCAAGAAGTGCCCTGCCTATGTCATCCTCGATTTAAGCATCCTAACCATATTAAGTAAAGAATAAAAATTATTACGCTTTCACCATGTAATCATCTCCAGTCTTTTGTTGCTTCACTAAGTACAACAATCTTTTTCATCTCATTTTTCTCAAACATTCAGTCTATGATCTTCAAGAAAGAGAGAGATCAAGTTTCATATCCACAGCACAGATGTAGTCTCTATATTTTAATCTTTAAATTTTTGGATAGGACACAGGACGTAGAAGATTCTAAAGTGAAATATGGCCACTATTTCTAGAAATCAGTCAACTATTAAACTGACACAGACTGTACTGTGTATATGGTATTCTGTTATGTTACCTTTTGGTATCACCTCGTATGAGATTCAGGTACCATATTCTTTGCTAGGTGAACTGTTTCCAAATGTTTAAATATAGTATTCACATTTCTACAACCATGTAATAATGTGCCTAGTGCATAAAGAATGTCCAAGATGCTGCAGTGAATGTGCATATTGCATTTGGCCCACCAGTATCCTGATGCATTCCTTAACACTGGATTTAACAGGCATTTCATCTGCCTAGGCTGTTGGTGGGTGACATACTCATATGACTCACAGGCCAAACGTTCTGGAGATACCTGGATTGAACTTGACTGGAAGGAATGTTTAATTTAAGTTTTTCCTGGTTTTTTAAGTCTACCAATCAAGTACTACTGATGTCTGTAAACAGATCACAGTTGCTTCTTCCTACATTCCTGCCTATTCATCATTCAGTCATCCTATTGTGTCTTATTCTCTTCTTCACAACCTCAGCAGTTGATACACTATTATAAGGGAACCTTATAACAATTAAAGATAATTTTGATCAGCCTGCAAATAGATCAGTGGGAAAGTTGGTATATGTTCTAAGCAGTTAATATGCTCTATTGATAGAACCTGATGTATCTCCTTCTCTGCCTCATGAAGATTTCAGATTCCTCTTAAACTCATCCATGAAAATAATTTTCCACTCTCTTGTACCAGACTGTTTCATTATCCTTAGGAGCTTGTTAATTATTTGAATAGGCTGATGTTGCATCAGAGAACCTGAGTTCCAACGCGGATGTTTAAGAATAAAACTGATCATTACCCTGACATGGCATGAGAATAATTTTGCCTGTTTTAGTGCAATTCTTGCTTTGGAAATCAGTGATAACTAATAAAGTGTGTTCTAAAATGGCAAGAATTGCTTCACCCTCATCATTATCCATGGTGGTGTACAAGGGGCAGTCAAAAAGTTCCCTAATGGTGGTATAGCACTCTGATTGTAGGACATAATGGTAACACTTACCTAATCACCTTCAAAGTAGGACCCTTGCACGCACACACACTTGCTCCATCGATCCTGCCATTGTTGGAAGCAGCAGTGGGAGGCTTCTTTTGGAGCTCAGCCATCGCATTCGATTTGATGTCCTCCATGGTTGCGAAACGTGTCCCGTTGAGGCCCATTTTCAGAGTGGGGAACGGCCAAAATTCACTCGGAGCGAGATCCAGAGAGTACAGTGGTTGAGTGATGACAGGAATGTTTTTCTCGGCAAGGAATTGCTGCACAAGAAGCGATGTATGGCTCAGTGCATTATCATGATGCAGAAACCAACTGTCCCTACCACTTGTCACACCGCTTCCTCTGAACGGCATTGCACAACCTCTGCAAAACTTGCACATAGAAATGGCCAGTAACAGTCTGTCCAGGCGGTACGAACTCATGGGGCACCAAACCGTCAATGTCAAAGAATGCAATGAGCATCACTGTATCTTTGGATCTGACGCGTGATTTATTTGGCCGGGGAGATGACGCTGTGTGCCACTCCAATGATTGCATCTTCGTCTCTGGGTTGTAGGCGAACACCAATGACTCATCACCAGTGGTGATCTTTTTGAGAAATGTCGGGTCCTGCGTACTTTTGTCAAACAGATCGCCAGGGACCATCATGCGACATTCCATCTGATCTGTGGTCAGCTGCCTCGGAACAAACGTCGCACTGACTCGTCTCATCTTCAGATCATCATCAGACAAAATGGCATGAATGGATCCGTGAGAGATACCAACTTCCTGCTCCAACTCCGCGATGGTCATTCTTCGATCACATCGAATCAGTTGTCGCACTTTCCCAATCATTTTTTCGGTTCTGTGTCAAAGGTATCCCACTGCACTGGTCCTCTTAACATCTCCTGCCCATTCTTAAACATGGAAAACCAGTTGTAAACTGTAGATTTCTTTAGTGCAGTATCACCATAAACTTGCTGCAGGGCAGATTGCATCTCTGAAGCAGATTTTCCTAATTTGCACATGAACTTTATGTTCGCACACTGTTCGAACTGCAACATTGCGCCGAATGACAAAACTCACATCAAATTCAAACAGAACAGTAATGACAGTGCACACTGAAACCTGTCCAGACCAGTTGCGCCTGCGAGCAGACATGCTGAGCTCCCATCCACAACAGTGTGTGCGCTATCTTATCACTCGTTCTCCGTCTGCAGGGGAATTCCGTGAAAATTTTGACTGCCCTATGTATTATGATTTATACTGGCAAATTAGTGACTTGGACATGTAATAGGTGGAGTAGTGTAGTTTTTCTATCAATTTCCAAACACTGTTTACATTGAGTGTGTTGCTGAAATGGATGGCACACCTGAAAGTTATTCATTTACATCACTGTTATTTTAGTGTTTTTGTTTTCGTAAATAAATGTGTTCTTTCAAAATAACACACAATGATTAGCAGTTATCCTGCCAATGATGCACTTCTATGAGTGGCATGAAGATACCAGACATGCAGACTGTGTCTAAGCCAACTACTTGAGTCCTGTTACACAGAACGATAGGTAGAGTTATATCTTGTGATGTTCCAGTATGAGTTTGTGCATTCATGAGGTACTTGTAATCAAGGCCACTGCGTTTGTTCTCTGCTACCTACTTGCTTCATGCTGGTTCCTTGCTTGGCTTATTCTCTGACCCTAAAGATGGAGCCAACATATTCCTCCTACATGTCGGATGCTTTTCAACAGACTACACAGCATTATATCCCAGAAGATAGAGCTCTTCATAACCACCGCTGTGGGAACCGCAGATTGTACACTGACTTCAATTTGATTATTACCTTTGAGCCCAACTGAATACTATGACAGAGTCATAACCGTGCCAAGGAATTTGTCACTACATGCAGTGAACAATATTTTGTGGCCCATAATTATATGTAGGACTTGTTGGTTCTCACAGTGGTGGCTATGAAGAGTTTTATCTTCTGGGATATAACACCATGTCTCAATGAAAGTCATCTGATGTTTCAGAGGAATATACTGCCTCCATCTTCAGGGTAGAATTGTAAGCCAAGCAAGGAACCAGCATGCAACAGGCAGGACTGAAGATGGAGGTAATATGTGCCCCAAGAATGCTGGTTAACTTTCACTGGACTACACAGTTTTATATAGCAAAAGACAGAACTCTATTCTTATGTCACAGTCACAAATGTCTGGTCTCTTACTATGAAAATGGTAGTTATAATGCATATATTTATCTTGTAAGATGTCTTTTATGTCTGTTGCAATGAGCCTTGCAAAATGCCATACTCCATAAAAAAATTATTTTTAGATATGCACTGACCAACGTTTCATTTCCTTTTGCCTCCCATGGTGTTCGTGAAGAAAGATAATATTATGTAAATGCCCTGAGCTGGAAACAAATACTGCCTACAGAACCTACCAGTGAACAAGTACCACTTTTACAAGAGTTTAAATAAATAAGATGATGTAAAAAAACACTCTTCACATGAAAATATATTGGTGCTTCCTTTGAAGCCAGTAAAAATTAAGATAATTATAACTGGCACAAGAGATCCATTCATGAGACTGTAACTTATGCACTGGAGTTGGAAATTGCCATGTTAAAGAATCTATATAAGATAGTAGCATAAGCTAAAGTAATGGTGCCTTCATATATAACCATTTGATATATAAGGAAAGACAGAAGAATTGTCACATTTTAGGCATATCAGCATTTTTATAGGTATAATAAATTATAATGTTGACATATTGAAATATTTAAGTACTCTGTTAGAAACATGATGATACATCAAGATTATAGTCTTCTGGAACTGGCACTGCAGGGGCTGGTTACCTGTTGCCTCGATCATCAGGGTAGAAGAATGGTTCTACCCCATAGATAAAGGAACCAGATTTCTCCAAAATGGTACCTTTTCTACCAGATTGTATAGCATCATATCCCAGAAGACTTGAAATCTTGATGCTCATCACTGTGAGATCCTCAAATCTCATGCATGATGAGACATGTTGTTTAATCCAGATGAGAGTATGAAAAATGCTATTGTTTAACTGATATGAAAACCTTTAATAATGTTATATTACATCAGTTCCTTTATGGAATGAATCCTGTATTCATAATTTTTAAATAATATTTTGCATGTTAATTAAATGCAAATATCGACTGACAAATGTAATTACTCATTATAGATAATAAGTACAATTTCATGATGGAAGTAGGCCTAATTACTATTTGAATCTATGAGTGTGTGTGTGTGTGTGTGATTAATACATAGTTCATCTACAGCAGTTCTCTTCCTAGGGTGATTCAGACATTTGCTGTTCACTTACCCACAAATTGAATGATTCCTACTGTGAACTGGCAGCTTTATATATGAAGAATGTTGTTAGCATGTTTCAAGAATATTAAATATGTATGCCCAACAAAAAAATATTATCTGTAAATCCTCGTTTTTATTCTGCTTTTAAAAATTTTGAAATGATGTTTATATCATGTGTTTAATTTTTATAGCTTTGAACCAGTCAGTGTGAATGTGATGTCATGGTATATGGTGTGACTTTTGATATATTTGTGTGTTTTCACAAGGTTTGTTTTGTGGTGGCATGCAACCATACAGCATTCTGACACCTTTTTTCTTTTTCATAAAATACAAGAAATCTGTATATCTTACAAAACTGGAGGATTAACAAAAGCTGAAATAAAGATCCTGTTAATTTATGTTTATTAGTATATTTATTTTAGGAAACAATGTTGCACCTTAAGTCTTATACCTTTCATTCCAGCAAATACTGAACTGGTCTGTCCCGAGTTAATAGGTTTGAAATAATTCTACAATTTTTATGTAATCAAATATAAGCATAATTCCATTACAGCTACATTAACTTCTGAGGTGGAAGCGGTTCTAGTACCATTTAGTGTTAGACCATAAAATTCTGTGTAATGATAGTTCAAGAAATATGGAGTTTACACTGGAGTCATTACATATAAAACTGGAATACAGGGCAGCAACAATGTAAAATGTGTACATACCATTTTACCTTGTAACATGAATCATTGCAGCTAGGCATGTGATGTTGGGTACAGCAACAAAACATTGTTACATGACTATTTAAACATCATCTGTTGCATGGGAGTGGGCAGCAACAATGTAAAATGTGTACATACCATTTTACCTTGTAACATGAATCATTGCAGCTAGGCATGTGATGTTGGGTACAGCAACAAAACATTGTTACATGACTATTTAAACATCATCTGTTGCATGGGAGTGGGCAGCAACAATGTAAAATGTGTACATACCATTTTACCTTGTAACATGAATCATTGCAGCTAGGCATGTGATGTTGGGTACAGCAACAAAACATTGTTACATGACTATTTAAACATCATCTGTTGCATGGGAGTGGCTTGATAAGCAAGCGTGCCATTGACTCTGACTCTGGAGTGGCCTGAGGGAAAGAGTTGATGAGTCAATAAAACCTAGCAACGCCCAGTGAAGACCATTACTGAGAAATGACTAGTGAAGATTATAACAGACTGAGACAGCGTGTACTGCAGTGACAGAGAGGAGGATAACAGAAGTTGAGCTGTTCTAGTTAGTGAGAGAGAAAAACAAACAGCACAGTGAATTTGAGTGTACAAGATTGCAGACTCCCAGTACTCCAGAAATACTGGACACAGAAGTCAACATCACAAACAAATACCCAGGAGAAGCTTCTGTAGAGCAACAAGTATATGAAGTAGTCAGTGACACTGAGAACCTTGCCAGACATGCACCAGGCAAAGTGTGGGAAAGCTGAGTGGACCCCTATAGTGAATAGGGCAGAGGAGAACAGAGCAAACTTTTGTGAAGCTCTTGATGGGAAGTGGCTTTTTAGTGCACTTTACAGCATGTATGCAGTAACAATGAACTCTGGGCCATACTGAAGGTGAATACACAAGCAGGACAAAGTTGTGAAGTGAAAAAAAAAACTCAGTGGAAGACTGAGATGCAAGAGGTATATATCTAATAATACCTCACAGACAGCCAGGAAGTTGACTAAATTAGTCCCAACATCTGCAACTGTCAAGCTGCCTCCTAAAGCAGTGCTAACTTGCACCTTCTTTGCACTTCTCAGAACTACTGACATGGACACAAACAGCACTGATTGGGAGAACACACTACCAGAGGAGGCTCCCAGAAAACCAGGCAGGCCACCACCAATAATGATGACTTTTGCCACAAATCTCATTCAACTATCATGTGACTTAAAAACCACGTCAAACAAGAGTACACATTCCGAAACACAAGAAATGGAACCCATATAATAAAAGGTATGGCAGACTATTCAGTCATGAAATCCTACCTGGAAAATAATAATCTCAAGTATTTCACTTTCTTCCCAAATTCTGAAAAGCCTATGAAGGCAGTAATCTGTCACCTTCCCCCAGATGTGCCAGCCTTGAGTACTCAGATTTCAACGTCATCAACATGAGGCAAATGACAGCCACTCGAACATCATCCAATGGACAAACCCACGTTGAATCCATCCCCCTATTCCTTGTTACCTTAACAAGAATCATAAAATCTCAAGAGATATGCAGGCTGAATAGCATTAACAATGTTATCATCAAGGTATACAGAGATGAGACTGGGCCTTATGAGGTGCTACAACTGCCAAAGCTTTGGCCATGTCTGGGCTAAATGCATGTAACCCCCTCGATGTTTGTGGTGTGGCGGCGGCCACCTGTTTAGGGATTTCCCTGAAAAGATAAATACAGAATCTAAGCCTAGCTGCTGCAATCGCACCATAGCAGAAGAAGAGAAACCTCATCTAGCGTCATATCAATACTGCAGCCAGTGCAAAAGGAGAACTTCAAACAAAAAGAGCACAATGAACTTCCAAGGGATCCTCTGGGAGGGCGTTTTTCCCTAAGTTCACCTAACCAGAGCATTCCTATGCAGCTGCACTGCATCAAGACATGCAACATCAGCAACCACAGGCATCACAGACAGATGGGAAAAGCTTCAGACCCCCATGCAACAGCATCTGCCACAACAGGAAATTAGAGAATAAGTATGTCAGTACAGGCCCTCTGAATGCTCAACATCCATTTTGGAATCCTTCAGACGTGAAACTACCGAATTTACGGCATATAAATGAGTTTGAAATTTCAGCACCACAATTTTCCACTCATTACTCTCCTGCAGGAAATGGTAACGTGCCCAATATTTTTGTGCGCAAGAATGTCTGACTGTCAGAAGTCACTGTCTCTGATATTATGGACTCATATCACCTACCAGTCATTTTCCACTTACTGGATCATGTTAGAATTATGTAATCTTTCAGACCCTGCTGACAAATTCACAGACTGGGAGCGGTTTCAAAGCCTGGCTTCTGAATTAATTTCAACTAGAATCCAAATTAACTCTGGGAATAAGCCAGCAAAGCAGCCTGCAACTTTACTGCCTCTATAGCTTCTGCAAATAGGCTATCGACAAGCAAAATTACACTCTCACACATAAATTACGTATTACCTGGTGTGCAGAGCCTGCCAAAACATAAATGGTGGTTATGGAAACTGTGGCAAGTAATCCACGAACCAGCATGTAAAACGGCAGTTAATTGGGTCGCCAAAATCATAAAGATGACCTGTAGAAATGCACTCGAACAGTGGAAAACAAAAGTAGGAAACTGTGAGATCACACGTCCAGCTCTGTGGCCTATTGTTAAATCACTTATGAATGAAAAGGGCTTGAACAAAGGCACCAGCTGCTGTTCATGGACGTTTAGGAATAACATATCACCCGGACACGAAAGCCGAAGTAATTATGGATTATTAAAGGTTAATTAATTCCGTTCAGTGTGAGCGAGGGCTCATTTTACAATGAATGGATGGAATATCCCCTTCATCAATCATGTAAAATATCTTCATGTTATCTTCGATGAGCAGATTACATGGGGACTGCAGACAGAAATCATGGACTCCAAGACCTTCTGAACATTTATCAGAATCTACTTCCTATTCAAAAGTGAGTGTTCAAGCGCCAACATTAATCTAACCCTCCATGAAGCACTGATCAGATCAGTTATGATTTATGCTTGTCCCATCTGGAAATATGCAGCAGACACCTACACCTTAAAATTGCAGCACCTGCAAAACAAGGTCCTCCGCATCACTGGAAATATTCCAAGGTGCACATCAGTCCACCATTTGCACACGACTTTTAACCTTCTGTATATATACAATTATATAATAAAATTGTGCCGGCAACAAGCAGAAGTCATATAGAATGCTCAGAATGAATGCACACTTGGCAAATGTCAAGACTATTTGTAAGAGACAAACCCATCCTCAAGTCAGAGAGAGTGTTACGCAAGGATTATGACCACGAGGATTCAACTGCAGGAAAAAGAAATTTTTCTGGCTGTGGGCCTCAAGGGTCTTGGCACCAAGAGGAATTGATCAGTGGTAAACTGCTAGTTATGAAGTAACTCTGAGTATGACTCTTGACAGTCAGGCAGTCAGTCAGTCAAGAATTGCCATAGCTCAGGACAGGACAGTACAGGAACCCAGAAGAAGTGGAAAATCTGCCATTGGAAGCCATTACCAGAAGACTTGTGAAGATACAGCAGGCTGAGAACACTTAAGTGTGTGCTTTAGTGAACTGTAAGGTGTGTGAATGAAATGGTTAAAATTACTTGTAGATACGGATCTGCAAGTTCAATAAATGCAATTACCAATCCAAAACCCATCTATAGTCACTCTATCACATGACAGTATTAAAATTCATTAAGTAAAATGGCTGCATATAATGACATGTCCTGCTAAATATGACCTTGACAAATCATAGACCCATCCTCACATCAAAGAGGGCACCCACACTGACAAAGCTGCAACTGACAGTAACAAAAATCTGTTCTTGGGCCCCAGAAGGGGCTTGACACCAAGACTTATTGGCCAACTGACCATTGGTTGTAATGTGACTTTTTGATTTTAATATGAATCCCAGAAGCCTATGAAGGCTATGCACATAAGCTGGGCATAAAAAAGAAACCTTCCCCAGTTTTCATTTCTGATGATATAAACCGGATATATGTAAGATAATTAGTTTCGGAGATATAATTTTTAATTTTGGATACTTTCCATCTGGACATGCACTACACGTGTATCAGTGTTACTACAGAACAAGATGCAACCATATTGAATTAATATGTGGAAATCAAAATTATTCCAATAAGTCACATCACACTGCAGAAAAAACATGAGTATAGACTGAATAAGTACTAAGCAGATTGCATATTAATAATGTTGAGTTCCTCTTGTTCAGTACGATCCTTCAGTCCTCCTAATACACATGCTATAAAACTGTTGAAGTCTGCTCGTAGTCGATTCCCACTTTCTTCAACATTGACTGAGACTTGGGGCACACGTGAAAATGTGTTTACTGCAATGTCAATAATAAAAAAAATAATATAATTAATTCTGCACTTTAAACAAGTAAACTATTAAACTTACTTAGGTCACAAATATCTTTGTATTCACCTTTAATTAAGTATTAAAATAATCTTTGGTAAGGAATATTTTGTCATGAGAAAATGAAATCAAATTTCCTACTGTGCTAAGAAAGTTTTGCTACCAACCCTCTGAATTATGAATCTAATATATAGATAAAGACATTTGTAATAGATCTGTCCACTACCCCCCTTAATTTCCGGGCTACATGAACAAAACAAGGATGTATAGTTTTAAAAACACAACAGTAAATTTCTTCTAAGGAAAAGGATTGAAAAGTATTCCATTTTAAGGTCAAGCAGACTTAACTGGAAAGTTACAAACTAAATACTGCTCACTGTAATTACAATACAAATTATCGTTAAAAATTAAGGGAGCATTTACTGAAGCATAGTTAATAATTAAATAAAATTCTACTTAAGATAGCTATTAACATATATTTACATTACCTCACATGTGAACAGATTTAAATCACAGCCCCTAAACAGTGTGGGGGGAGTTCCCACTGGAGATTTAAATTCAGATATGCCAAATAACACTGGTTTCAAAATTAATAAGAACTCTTATATCCTTGCCATCACATTCAAAATAAGGGAGAATAAGGGAGACATTCATTTGGGAGATCTTCAATGTTCACATTTGACAAACTTCTATTACTAACATCTCATTTACAACTGACATTTCCAAGATCATCTACTCAAAGAAAAATTGATAAATCTGGTCAATACACACACCAAATGACAACCCTGACCATTACCTTGAAGAACACATATGCAAAATTCATGTTGTTCAAATAATATTCATGAGATGGGAGCATAAAGCATGAGCAGTCATCCACATGCAGTGCAAAGCATGCAGTGCATGACACTCCATGTTAGTGGGTTAAAATCCAGAGAAACTGTGCCATAAATCAGACACAAGGTCTTACAATAACGTTCACGAACTCGCCACCATGTGCTTGCTGTGGCAGCAGTGGACCATAACCTCAATATGGCTTGATGATATTGGCATATCAGCATTTCACAGCTGTATTATTGTTGACCTATGGCAGTCTCTTTCTGAGTGGCATCTATCATTGTCAGAGTGTTTTGGTGTGCTGTCACAAGAATGTCGAAGCTTGAATTAGAGCAACGAAAGAACATTAAATTTCTCATTAAACTTGGCAAGAGTGGAAGCGAAATCAGAGAGATGTTGGTACAAGTTTATGGGATAATGCTATGAAGAAAACAGTTTACAAATGGATGGCACTTTTTCTGAGGGAAAAGAAAGTGTCACTGATGAAGAGAGATCAGGATGGCAAGCAAGGAGCAGAACTGAAGAAAACATTGCAAAAGTTCATCAAATTGTGGTTGAAAACTGTCACCTGTCAGGAGCAAAGCAGTGCAAATGAACATCAACAAAGAAACAGTTTGGAATATCTTAACTGAAGATCTTGATATGAGGAAGGTGTGTGCAAAAATGGTCCCAAAGAAGCTCACGAAAGAACACTGTCTGTGAGGGAGTTTCTAGCTAGTAAACAAATAACTATGCTAAAACACTCTCCGAATTCACCGAATGTAGCCCCCAGTGACTATTTCTGTTCCCAAAGGTAAAGGAAATATTGAAAGGAAGGCATTTTGATGACATCGAAGACATCAGGGGTAATATGACAGCAACTCTGAAGCCCATTCCACAAAACCAGTTCCAAAATTGTTTTAAAGGGTGGATCAGGCATTGGCAGTGGTGCATAGCTTCCCAATGGGAGTACTTTGAAGGCAACCACAGTGATATTCAACAGTGAGGTATGTAGCACTTTTACCGCAATAAGTCCATGAACTTTACTGTCAAGCCACATATATTATGCTTAAAGTGAATAACTGAACTGAACAATTATTTATTTTAATAAAGAAAACTAAAACAAATATATATTGACATACAGAGCTTAGAAGAATGCTTGACATCCTTATCAGCAGGCTGCTTTTGGTTAGCAAACACAACACAATTTTTGTAGCTGAATCCTGTTTGTGTGACAAAATAATTGTACAACAGCTCTAAGTCTCTTGCATGATCTTCTTTGGATGGATTATATACAAATATAATTCCATGAGTGTCTCGCTGTAGAGCTGGCCAGCAGGCTTCAAATCTGCAAAGAAAGTAAACACTGGAGCTAACAGAACTTCAAAGTATAGCAATATAGATTCTTTCAAATGCCCATAGCAATATTTTCGATGGTTCATTTAGCAACACTTTCAGTATTGAAACTATACAGGGCCAGATTGCAGTGTAACTGATAAATGGTGGACTGGAAAGGATTTGGAAGGAAATGGTCATGGTCTAATCTAGGTACTATCCCAGTATATGACTAGAGGGACTGAAAAGATCCATGAAAAACACCAATCAGAAAAGCTGGCATCCCAACCAAGGACCTCCCAAGTAAAAGTATACAGCGTTATCCCTATACCAATCTGGTCCTTCAGTTGCCATCTTTACCCTCCTATTTGTGTTCCATTTAATCAGTGTCCAGTCTTTCACTACTCTCTTTTACACTCATCCCTCATTCTGTTTCTCAAGCTAGTTCTTAATCTCCAGCCATTTATCTTCCATCTTCGTTCTTAAGCTTAAAGGAATCCTACTACTGTCTATATGCAACATATGTCTATGCCACTGCATCCTAATCTGACCACACTCTCTTACAGAGTTTGTACTTTCACATCTTGCACTTTAGTCATTAGTAATAATCAACACTACCAACTGCTAGTTGTACTTTTAATAGTGTCATTTCTACTTAAATGATTTTCATATAACAAATTAAATGTTTTCTTGTATTTTTATAACCAACTAATATAACATATTTATTTGAATTCTGACTCTAGAGTATAAGGAAAATTAAATCAATATTAGTGTTCTGAGACCAAATTTTTGCAATAATTGCAGATAGAGAGAAAATGTGTATCTTTTCATGTCTTATAATGTTCTCATCATATTAGAAAAGAAGAAGAAGAAATGTGTATATTACTGCCAAATGTACCAAATAAAACATGGTCTCTGCACACTCAATTTTAAATTTCATCATACTAAATCTGTTTAGAAAAACATAACTTTTCATCTTTCTTGCTGATATCTGAAAATAAATATACCATCATTTATATTAAAAATGGTCAAATGCACATTTTACAAATACATTGCAAGCCCAATATATTAACTGTATGGCACAGCATATTTCTTCTGCAGTTGATAGATATTCAAATGTTTACAGAACTGTTTGTTATGAAACCAAAGGTTCATTGCTAACACTGAAAAATTCCACCATTGCACAGCTCAATATAAGAATAATTTCCTGCGTTACTTTTCTTTGCATGTAGTGTGAAGGGCACGTTTTGCAGGACAGAATAAACAGACCACAATAATACTCTGTTGAATACTAAAAAAAGCAATCACGTGAGTACAAAATATACAACCAAGAGTTGATTTATATTTTGGACAAATCAAAGTTCCACACTTATGGCACTGTGTTTATAATTATAGATATGTTCATCAGTCATCTCTGCAGAATATGATGAGTTACAATATTTTACAGGTATGAAACTGAAGTCTCTCACTCTGGGTCTTCATATGTTCAGATTGTCTGAAAATGCTGAAGATGATATTTTCACTCAAGAGAGGTGATCAGAGTAAATGACAAAATAACATAAAGACGGATGTCACAAGTTATACTCTTCACCTAATAATGAAAATGAATACACGTACCTATATTCCCCCCCCCCAAGTTGTGCAGATATGTAAACACAGTGAAAGCTGAAAACTCAACTTGAAGGAAGAAATGCATGTAGGAAAAAGAAGTACAAAATATATAAATACTGACTTCAGATTCAAAGGAGAAAAGACAATTTAAAAGCAACCTACTTAAACCAACTTAAAGGAGGATAATATTAAAACAGATTACAGAAATACTGGGTGAAGACGAATTCAATTTAACTATTTCAGAATAATGTCCAATCCAGCAGGGGCAAAAGACTTTCCTCTCCTACACAGCATCCAGACTGGCTCTGAGGCCCACCCAGCCTCTATCCAGTGTGTACTGAGGACTATTTCTTCAGGGGTAAAGTAGTTGGGGTATAACACTGACCGCTGACCACTCACCTACATATAGTAATGAGGTTAAGGCCACTTTCACATGTATACCCATGATCTACTTAAGCGAGGCTCATATGGAGATGATATTCATTTGCAGGTTTGGTCACATGACTCTCTGCTAGAGTCACCAACTTCACTCATTCACACCAACAGTATGTTCTTAGTGTGAAAGTCCTGTAAAATGCACTGGCTAGAGTGACTCGATCTGAAGTTCAATGACCATCACTCGAATGGTCATCATGTTAAAAGAGCAAAACTCTCCTCACCAGTAGCCACTACTAGCAGGAAGAGCCACATATGACTCATGAGCAGGGCTCACAGGATTGATGGCTCCTGTCTAGGAAGGTATTGGGCATTTTTCTCGAATTTCCATCCCCAGCAATCACTTCAGCTCATGTGAGCCACTCAAGTAAGTCATATGAGAAGGAGCTTAAGAATGCATGGAGTTAAACTGCCCCCCCCCATCTCTTCATGGCATTATGCTTAACTAATTTTTTTCTCTCTCCTCTCGCTCCTACTTTGGAGCATAGGGCTGATTTCTCAGTTTCATGATCATCTTTTACAGATGGTAGGACTCACTGGATGGGTGTTCAGCTCGTCACAAGGCCTCTACCTAAATGTACAGAACACAGAATAAATGCATACACACACAAAATATCCATGCCTTGTGTGGGATTTGAACCCATGATCCCAACTTCTGAGCAAGCAAAGATAGTGAACACCTCAGACCACTCGGATCCCCTTACCGGCAATTAATTAATTACAGGGTCAATTTCACCTTTATCCTAACCAGTATGGTGTCCAAAGGAAGACTTCTGTAAACTCACTAATGAACATTTGGGTTGCATAACAGCAGGGTATGTCTTCATCAAATGATTGGTTGAAGAACATTACTGTAACATGTAACAACACATTAGTGTTCTTAGTATTATTTATCTCTAGTTTAATATATACAGTACAGCAAATACTGTCCTGAACAATTAATATCAAATAAAGTTAGATAGCAAGTACATACTTATGGTCACCACTGCAATCCCACAGCTCAACCTCTGCCTTTAAGTATCTGTTGCTGACATTCAAGTTTTGCATTTCAAACTCCAATATCCGAACCCCCTGCGTTGGCCGGTATTCACCACTGGAATTTTCTGTAGCATCTGACAGAAAATTTGCAATTGCTGTTTTTCCACTCTGAAAAATAAAACTGAATATCAGAAACTTAGCCATTCATCTTGTACAGTGTAACTAACTGTACAAGAAAAAAGGACACAGGTTATTTATATTAATCCTTAACCTAGTGTAGTGTGAGGACATCTTGTATTTGATACTCAGTGTCCCTTCAATCACACGTGCACATGTAGTCCAAGTTAGAAGCATATTACATATCATATTACACATACATTGCATATTATATATCATATCCTAATGAAAATGGCATTATATCAAAATCTCTGTTAAAATAAAGAACAAAACTTGACATCCAGTGTTTGCATATATTACAAATATGATAGTGACTAAATCATTAGCACCTTATACAAATGTGTTTTGGAATGTTCTAAAATTATGAAAACTTATCACTAACACATCATATGAGGCAGATTATAACAGCCATCATACTGGGATTTGTAACCATTTGTCTACTACACTTCATTTGTTGATACAATGTCTTCTTGGAGCTGTTCTCTTGTTGCTGTTGCAGGTTAAAACCTGATCACTGACCTTTTTATTCACATAGTGCCACTACTGTAACTCAACAGAATACATATACTTTGACAATGTTCTTGTTGCTAATATTAACTGGGTTAGTGTCAAGGACTAATTTGTTGTTATGGCTTGCTATAAGAGCTTGTAGGTGCTATACACTTGTGCTCATCATTATAACCATGTACACCTAGACATAACCTTCCAATCACTTTACACACTCATAACCCCATAATGTGTACTCGTTCTACCCATGCATGAAGGTTGGCAACACTTATCAGAACAATTACATGCATGTCAACAGTCTTAACAGTACTGATAAAAGTACAATAAAAGTATTTTAGTAGATACCTATTAACATCATTGTCATTATAGGAAAAACATCCCTTTTTGAGCCACAGCCTTCCTTATATGATTCTAACAGATCAAATGTGGTTTTAACTTGTCTGGATTTCACAACATCATTTTTTCTTACATGGGGCAACGTTGTCAGCCTTGTGTCCAACCCCCCAACCTGGAGGATCAGGTCACTGTATTTATGACCCCCAGCGACAGGGTGGCATAGTTATGACCCCCTGCACAGGTGTCCTTTTCATCACCTTTTACAACTCACAGGGCTATGTTGGAGGTATTCTAAACTGCCTCCACATGGGGGAGGATACCTATTATATTAATCTAAATAATTACACGATACAAAGGAATTAGAGTTCTGTTGCCTTGTTATCTTGAATCATGAAATATATAAATTCAAAGTCAAAGTTTGACTCAAACAACATCAGTGCAATCTGTGTCAGGCGCAAAACAACACACAAGTATGGAGGAACTGTCTGAAAAAATGCAACAGCAAATCTCTCATTATGCTCGCCATTCAATAATGGAGCAGCAAGGACAGCTGACACCATTCTTATTGGTAACTTTGATATTAAACTGGCACCAGGCAGCAGAAATATTCACAATCCCAGTTCTATGGTTATGGTGTTAATTTACTATATTATTATTATTATTATTTATTATTACAAGGACTAGCAAACCTGTGGAAG